TCACCATGTTGACCAGGATGGTCTCGATCTCTTGACCTCGTGATCCACCCGCCTCGGCCTCCCAAAGTGCTGGGATTACAGGCTTGAGCCACCGCGCCTGGCCTCTTCTTTTAACTTTGTATATTGAAATAAGTTTTGACTTAGAAAAACATTCCAAAAATACTAAAAAGAATACAGATTGTCTAAACAACATTTTATCACATTTGTTTTATCATTGTCATTCAGCCTTTCTTTTACATATATAAGTATATTATTTCTTTTATTGATTGTTCAAGTAAGGTACAGACGTAAGTTTCTTTATCCTTAAGTATTTCAGCATGTATTTCCTTAGGGATAAGGATATTGTCTTATGTAATCACAATATAACTTTAAAATTAAAGCAGTTAATGTTGATACAATACTATTGTCTAAATTCTAGATTTTCACATTTTAAGAATTACCCTTATATAGCCTGGGCAACATGTAGACCCCCGCCTCTACAGAAACTACAAACATTAGTTGAGCATGGTGGCATATGCCTGTGGTTTCAGCTACTCAGGAGGCTGAGGTGGAAGGATAACTTGAACCCAGCAGGCCGTGGTTGCAGTGAGCTGAGATCACGCCAGCCTGGGTGACAGAGTGAGACCCTGTCTCAAAAAAAGGAAAAGAATTACCCTAATATCCTTTATAGTAAAACAAAAACAATGAGGTGTTTTTAATGAACATTAAAAACTGATTTGTATATTCAACTGATTTGAAAAAATAGTATAGTTATTTTTTATCTAAATGAAAAAGAAATCATTTTGGATTATATCACTTCTGTTTTTCTTTTTCTTGTTCCCAAACCTGGGTAACCACCTTCTTACTTTTATGGTTAGTTAATGTGACAGCTCTGTACTATGTTCATTCTGTATTATGTTCATGTACAATGCATGCATTTAGTCTATTCTTTTTTATAGGAAGTTTATAGATTTGTTTGTATCTGTTTCGGAACAGCCATGAAAATACCAGATTCAAGTATTTTTGTAAGACATAATGGAACACATCAGGAAAAAATTTAAGGCCTTAAGTTGAAATATAGCATAGTAACTTGAGAGAGAAAGCAGTCACTGTATCTGGAAACTGGCTTGGCATTTATAGCTAGGCATTTATGTTCTCCTTTTGAACATAATTTCACAGAACATCAACATCAGACCATGTGACTGTGATGAAGCGAAACAAAAAGCAAGATCATTCCATAAAGTTGTCTAGCCACATTAAACAAACAAGGTCACTGTGCAAACTACAAAAGATACCAGACACACCCCTACCCTGACCTATCTGAATGATTGCTGCTTCTTTACCAGTTAAAACTTTAGCCTCCCTGTGGTCTTCTGTGGTTCTAGATAAGATTTATTATTAAATAAGTTACTGAATTATAGAATCATTTCCACTTGAAGTATCCAATTCACAGTGAAGCCCCACTTTCTTGAACCCTCCCACAAATTATCTCACAAGTGCCTTAATCCTGTAAGTCGCTTCTAACACTGTCTTACTGAGACATCTCTCATTTACTCATATTTATTGCAACTAGCAGTAAATAAACTTGTTTAACTACAAGTGTGTTTTTAATTGGTCATTGGCTGGAGGACTTTGACTAAACTCTATATAGGGGAACAAGAAAAGGTTTCCACAGTTAACATTTATATAACATTGCTTAGGAATTTCTAGCAAGCCCTATGAGCTGGAAAACAGTAGAAATTGAATCTTAATACAGCCTTCAGAATGTGAGAAAGTATTTGCAGATTATCCATCTGACAAGGTATTAATAACCAGGATACATAATGGACTCAAATGATTTGATAGCAAATTATAATAATAATCTAATTTAAAAATTGTCAAAAACCCTAAATAGACATTTTCAAAAGAATATATACAAATGGTCAATAGGTGTATGAAAAATACTTATCATCACTAACCATCAGGGAAATGGAAGTCAAAACCACAATGAAATATTGTTTTGCCAGTTAGAATGGTATTATCAAAAGATTAACAAATGCTAGAAAGGATGTGGAGAAAGAGTGAGTGCTCAGCTGGGCACAGTGACTCATGCCTGTAATCCCAGCACTTTGGAAGGCCAAGGCAGGCAGATCACTGAGGTCAGGAGTTTTGAGACCAGCCTCACCAACATGGAGAAACCTCGTCTTCACTAAAAATGCAAAATTAGCTGGGCATGGTGGTGCGGGCCTGTAATCCTAGCTACTTGAGAGGCTGAGGCAGGAGAGTTGCTTGAACACGGGAGGCAGAGGTTGCAGTGAGCTGAGATTGTGTCACTGCATTCCAGCCTGGGCAACAAGAGTGAAACTCTGTCTCAAAAAAANAAAAAAAAAAAAAAAAAATTACTGTGCCCCACTCCATATGAGTACATAATCTCTAATTATTAGGGAAACAGAGAATTTTGAATTACAGAAAACAAAGATAAAAAGTCGAAAGAAAAATCTCTTCAATAAAAAGGCAATGTCCTGACCAGCCTGTAATCCCAGCACTTGGAGAGGCAAGGTGGACAGATCACCTGAGGTCAGGAGTTTGAGACCAGCCTTGCCAACATGCCAACATGGCAAAATCCTGTCTCTACCAAAAACACAAAAACTAGCTGGGCGTGGTGTCATGTGCCTGTAATCCCAGCTACTTGGAAGGCTGAGGCAGGAGAATCATTTGAATCCAGGAGGCGGAGGTTGCAATGAGCTGAGATTATGCCACTGCACTCCAGCCTGGGCGACAGAGCAAGACTCCATCTCAAATAAATAAATAAATAAATAAAATATTTTTTAAAAAACCAATGCATAAATATTTTTGCTTCCTTACTATCCTTTTTTTTTTCTGTGAAATTTCATAAAACACGTGTTTTGCAGGCAAATGTGTTCTCATATGTAGGCTTCACATGTCTGATTATGCTTCCTTTGGCATGCTCCCAGGCTATCTTTGTGTGGCTGTGTGGGCAAGAACACTTTGGCCATACGTTGCAGAATGGATTTTGTTCCTCTGACTTGTTGAATAAGCAGTTCCTGCCTCTTTGGAGCTGACCGCTGACCAGGAACAGCCAGGCTGAAGGCAACTCATCACAGTTAGGTCTTGCAGAGCACTTGGGCTCATTTTGCTGGAACACTGCAGCCTGGAAGAAATTCAAGGTGACTGAGAGTTGGCTTCTCCCTGCATTTCTTTACCAGGTTATAATAAAAGCAAGCTGCAGACTGAAATGTGTCCCAAACAGAGACATTTGTTAAACAAATGTTTATTAGCTTACAGGCCAAAAGTTTAGATAACTAATTTGAAAGTTTGACAAAGGCCCAGGTTTCTGCCTGTTTAGGTGTCCAAGTGCGTCCTTGCATGAAAAGACGATTCCAGATAAGAGCACATTCCATGGGTTGAATTGTATTGGCATCAGGCAACAGAAATCCACCTTGAGGCCGGGCGCGGTGGCTCAGGCCTGTAATCCCAGCACCTTGGGAAGTTGAGGAGGGTGGATCACCTGAGGCCAGGAGTTCGAGACCAGCCTGACCAACATGGTGAAACCCCATCTCTACTAAAAATACAAAAATTAGCCAGGCATGATGGCAGGCGCCTGTAGTCCCAGGTACTCGG